TTGACAAGGAATCCTAAATTCTTGTAAATTATTTACAGCACAGAAGGGGACCATTCCGCCCATCTTGCCTGTGCCAGCATTCTGCCCCCCTCCCTCCCCCCCATACACCTTTATATTTCTATTTTCACATACCTAATTTTCTCTCAACAGTAGATATGGATTTTGCCTCAACCACCATTGTTGGGCATTCCATGTCCTAACCCTCTGTGTGAAAAAAAAATTCTAACCGCTCCCTTTAGTCTTTTGATAATTACATTAGATCTATGCCCAAGTTAAGTTTATGCCCTAGTTCCTCCAGTCTTTCTGCGTTAAGTTAAACCTCACAACTCAAGTATAATCCTACTCAATCTCTTCTGCACCCTCGTCATGACCTTGTGGAGTCCTGTAGCATATTGGTTAGAGCATTCGTCTTGCAAACGAGACGATCCAGGTTTAATTCCTGAGCAATAGGCATGTTTTCTTACTCCACATGCCTTATTACCTAGCAATCCAGTTGTTAAGTCGATTGGCAGATTGCTTTTTGGGGGGTAATAATCCCTTGAAAGAAACAAATAAAATAGAATTGCGCCTTACCACGTCTTCGAGACGTCTCAAAGTGCTTCACAGAATATATTGTAAAGTGAATTAACTGTATAATTTTTTGGTGGGCGAAACTGTATATACTCAATGGGCCAAATGGCCTCCATCTGTGCTGTAGATTTCTATGTTTCTTTGTATGAATGGCTCAGAAAATGTGAAAAATAGTAAAAAGCATTAGGATTTGTTAAAAAGTACAAGGATGTTTAAAAAAAAGCATGTGACAATGTAAGGGACAAATGACTTTATTTGCTTAGAATTTGCTTAGACTACTACTGTATTCACCAGTGCTACGAAGGCAAAATGGCAAGTCCAGGAGCAGACACCAAGCCTTTTCTTGGACAGAATTGCTCGCACACACCATTCAAAGTGGCAAATGGCAATTTCACAGACAGCAAAAAGGCAAAGCTACACCTGCTGCCACCATATTAAATGTCAGTTCCATAACTGCATCATGGCTGCTGACCGTATCTCTCTCAGATGAACTGTAGATGGTTGTAAATGATACCCCGACTAACGGGAACAGGAATCAATATTACCACTTCTCCCACTACTCAAAAGTCTCTCATCTAAACACTGCAAGCATTGTCATAAAATAAAAAAAGCCAATCGCATAACAAACAACAACATTAATAGCAGCATGGCTGTATAAGGGCCAGACATGCACGTGGTTTGCAAATATACAAAAATAGTTACAAATGTGAAATTCAGCTTTCTTCATAAACAGATTATGTTAACCAAACATGTCGAGTGCAAGCCAACATGTGTCTAAAATGGTGGGAATTGCCTAGAACATGATCGTGTAATGGGATAATTCAGTTCGAAGTAGAATGCACCAATTAATATAAATTGCAAAATCAGATCACCAATTAAAACTTTGAATATATCGGATGTTGCAAAGAGACAGCCATCAGCAAGCACCAGCAAGAACGCATTTTAAATTGTATTTAATTCATTCACTTACTTGGAGGAGGGAGCAATGCAATACTCAGGAATCCCTAGATAAATATTTCAATTGCTATCGGTTAATATGGCAAATGGAATACATTATGAAATGGATTATATTTAATTTACTTGGCATAAAAAGATGTTAAGTAAGCGATAAGTTTTATAATTTTACTAAAAACATAAAATGAATCGGTCCCATTCGGATATGCTATACATTTGAATAGATTTTTAAAGGAATATCACCCTCGAGTTGTAATTGAGATGTTTATTGTTTTATTAAGAAATGGGAGAAAGAAGAAATGGACCAGGTAACGATCAGAATTTATCATCTAACAAAAACATATTTGTAAACAACTGGATGAAATGTATTCAAATCCAGCAAATGCATCAATAGATGTGTTTTGTTGCTATGTAGACAGGAAATACATTGCATCCACGTAACACATTTTAAGTCTTAGAATGGCTTTGCTGCTGTAGCTGAGATGCTAAAGATTGTAATCAGAAGAACACTACATTACATTTATGATCATCATAAATTATATAGATTATGTATTATGTAAATACATGTCCAATAAACTCAAACCCTACCAGTTTGTATTTTACCAGTTTGTATTTTACAACAACAAAGGTCGAGTTGGGTTGTATTAAACAGCTTTTTTTTTCGAAAAAACACCAAATCTGCATGGAAATTCAGAACACGTTCATCCTTCAGTACAGCAAAAATAGGGTTAAATTATTTTTCAAAAATGATTCTGCAGTTGAGAGCACCAAATCATTCCTTACTGAAAGTTTTTTTTTCTATGAATCGTTTTAGAAAACAATTTTTTCTCAATATTTTACTATCCGAATACGTTTCCTTCATGGTTCGATCGCTTGCGAGATTCTGCAGATAAATGTGGTATGTAATAATTACCGCTTGCTATTAAGGTTAAAATCTACGATCTTAAATCTTACCTTCATCGGTAGTCATTTTCGACACAAGTCAGCACAGAACTAAACACTGAACTCTACGTTAGTCTTGGGTACTTTGCAGAGGATTCAGTCTCTCAACGCTGCTAAAACAAACCCCCTCCCCACCCCCTCCAACAATCTGACCTCACAGAGACGCCACCTGCCAGTCACCTCCAGAGTAAAAGCCTGCAGCTCGCTTTTTTATTGCTTTTAGTGCAGGGGACAGGCAAAACTCCCCAGTGGAATCGCCTTTTCCCACATTAGCCCTGGCTCCTGAGATTTGGGGCACGTTTTTCTTCGATTTCTAAAGCAGCTGATGGTTTACAATAGCAACAAGGCTTTGAGAATTAGGTCATCACAGAAAGCAAGCGATATCTTGGATCTGTTCATCTTTTTTTTCAACCCCCCCCCCCTTTTTCCAATCGTCCGCTAAATGTAATCAGCCAGTGGAAAGCAATCCCTGCTTACATAGTGTCTGCTTACACAATGGAAACTCGAAGAGCAATGAAAACCCAAACGAGGTTATTTTGTGCCAGCTCAATAATGCTCCTCAGCTTCAGTCTTGTATGTATTCACCCCCTCCCTCCCCAGTTACATTCACCCTGATTGACATGTAAACTGCTGCAATAGCTTGTCTCCTCTTCTGACTGCACACAAGTACAGAAAATCTGTGGGACAGTTATTGTTCCACACACACCGTCTCAATAAAAGCTGCAGCACAGCAAGAGCAAAGATCTTATCAAGGTGACAGACAACAAAAAAGGAAGAATGAACTTCAGTTTACTGGAAGAGAGGGAAGGGGGGGGGAAAAAGACATTGATTTACTTGCCGAATCAAGCACAATTGTAATTTCTCAACTCGAATATTTAAACTGCTCTCTTCTCACAGTCATCGGGGACACTCAGAACAATAAATGCAAAAAATTCAAATCGATCCATAAAATAATTGATTCCAAGATGACGGGAGGGGGTGGGGCAGAGAAATATTACCAAATCTAATTATACATCATTAGCGACCTCATGTTGAAATAAAAGGTACAAACTGGTAGTTAATTACACGCTCTTTCAGGCTGGTAAAAAAAAAAGCTCTGTTAGGGGTGCAGAAAATGACTGCACAATTAACAACAAAAGATGCCTCAAAAATATAATTAGATGTTCAACTGCCAACTTCCAGTTTAAAATGATAATTTGCATCTTAAGAGTTCGTAATTACAATGTAGAAGAATGCATGAAATGAGATTTTGCAGCGTTACAAAAAAGGGCGATATAGAAAAAGCAAGGTTGAGCCTCCATTTTACAGCTTGGCTCAAACTATTAAGAATCTTGAGAGGCTGTCAGTAACCATGCAACAAGCAGCATGTTTTCATTCAGGCACCAGCTTCTTACACAAGAACACTATTACAAAATATTGCTCTTTAATAACCATGACATTTACAGTCATCCACTTATGTTTCCTCTCTACGCTTTAATGGAGGATTTCAAGAAAGAGTAATTACCAACACAATGCATACAAACATTGCTGTAGATGTTGAAAAATAAGCTCCTTGCTTTTTAAGTCTGTCGCATTTCATCAATGGCAGTAAAATGCCACAAGAAATATCTCCCACCACAGTCGTCATATATTTTTTAAAAAGATTAACAATTGTTCCTTCAATTTACATTTCCACTCAGGGACCCATTGAGGAAATAAGCAATGTTAATTGTAAATATTTGTTAAAAATACTTGCACATCTTCTGAAAGATGATTAAGAAACAGAATTTGAAAATGGGATTCAATTACACTGTTCCTTTTTCATTCATCAAAGAGAATTCAGATCCATTTGCCACACAGAAGGTAAGAAAATAAATCCTTTCTGCACTGACATGACTTTGAGAGCTGGGAGTAAAATATAGTTATGCAGGAGAATAATTGTTAGTAGATCCAGAGAAGACTGCTCATCCCAATATTATATCCTCCAACTATGAGAAAAATAGATGCACTTCTGATTCACGGTAAATTAATTAATAATATCAAGCTAGGCTAAATCATAATCAATTTTATTAAAACCACAACTTCTCCATCTGTGTGATGCACCATTAAATAAATAAAAACATTGAAAAGAGGTTTATAAATATCGAAAAATAGGAGAAGGAACTAAAAGAAAATAAATAAAAATAATTTTATAATTAATTATTATCCTCTACCATTTCTCTTCTCTCCCCGCCCCCACCTAAATTCAAATGAAACAATTCAGTTGGTCGCATTCTTTTCTTCCTTCCAAGTCATTCATTCCCAGTTTCTAAAATAAATTTTAATTTGACCGGGATTTAAAAACTCTGTACAGAAATGTCAAAGCCCTCATTTGCTGGTACACTGCGGTAAAGGCTTAGATAGCAGGATTGCCCTTGGTGTTGAAAATAGGTCAATGCCCAAACAAAGTATATTCAAATCTGTCATCTTTATTCTCATTAGGATTTGTTTTTATATCTATATTATATAAAACCTATCTCAATTCATTCTCTACTAAAAATAAAACGGTTACTTACCAGTTGAACTCAGTATCATGTTTCCAGATTTCTGGACATCATCAAATTTTGCAAAAATTACATTCAACCTGGTTAAAGAAAAGGAATATGGATTTATTATTGTAGCACAATTGAAGATAAAACTCATTAAAATTAAAAAAACAGTAAGTGCTTACACAAGTAAATTGTTTAGGCAGCGCCCTGGAATGTCTTTCTGACGTGAAGGGCGCTCTACAAGTGTAATTTGTTGTTGTTAAATACATACATGAGGGAGAAGGGAATGAATTAGGAGAAGTGGAGGCCTCATGGGGAATATTAATATTGGCATGAACTTGTTGGATCTTTCCTAATGGTCACAAGATATAACAACAATATTACTAGTAATAATAATGAGTAAATTGCCAGTGCAGGATTTATTTTAGCCCTCATTTCCAAGGGGAACTGGAGCACAATCTATGAGGAACTGGGTTGAGTTTTGGCTTGAGCTTTCTTGCTTTTTGAGTTGGTAAATATACACGCCTGACAATTCTCTAGTGTGTAATTGTTTTTGCCAACGCTCATAGGTGTTTGAGAAGGACAATATTTACACAATCATTTTAAAGAAATAGAAAATTTAGCATAACAAATAAAACACTGCTAGGCTGAGGGCCTGGAATTCGCCCTTTAGTCAAGGAAGTGTTGCATCTCATAATGCTCTGTGGGTAAATTGTAAAAATTACAGGACTTCAGCAAGCCTACACAAATGGGAAGGGGAAAAAATTGCTAGTGGTGATAAAGGAACTCAGTCCTTTTTCTCCCTTCACGGGCACAACAATGTTTAAGAAACAGTCTCGCTAACTTCAAAACTGACTGCAATGGCACTATTTGAAATAAAGAGCAACTGTTGACAAAATAGGAATTTACAGCCGGAACAAGATGTCTTTATTGTATGTTAGCGCATTACTGAGTGACATTTTTCCTAAGATACCATTTTATATGATGACCCTAGTGATAACACTAGTTAAAAATAGTATTTACCTCTCAGGATCATTAATATGAAATGCCACTAACCTGCTGAAAAACAGAATTATTGGGCTGCTAAATCGGTTTTCCTCATGGAATAAAAGCATTATACAATGCAATTACTGAGCCATGCAGTCAATGAGTCCCAGTTCAATATTTAGTCTGAATTAGAGTGTTCTGATCTGAACTAGGCCATCTTAGAATGGAGGGAAACGAAGGGGCTATAGCCTTTCTACGCTACTGGATTTCCTCAATATTTCCTGAACTCAAAGAGAAATAAATTCACTCGATGTTCTGATTTTTCGCCAACTTTGGTTTCCTCATGAAGCTGTGTGCAAATACACCAACCTTTTCGCCCACAAAATACACATTCAATCCACTTTACAGTTTATTCTGTTCAGCACTTGGAGACATCTCAACATGATAAGGTGCCATGTCAAATGCAAGGCTTATTATGATTATTAATAACTGTGTGCAGTGGTTTGAGATATTTTATTATGAAACTGCAAGGATTATTCTTGTTATATCACTATAATAATGAATAAAGATACCGATACGGTCACGTGTAGTGACTATTCTTTGTAACCAAATGCAGCAGAGCAGCCATTAGCACCAGCGAAATCCCAAATTCACCAATGTTAATCAAAATAGTAGAAAAATAACATGAAATGGCATAAAAGATCAGCGATGTGAAACCAGTTGCAGTCCATGTAAAATCTCCATATAAGATGGCAGGGGTCGTTTGAGTTACCAGTGCATTGACGTACATTTGTCTGAATTGAATATCCGATTTCACTAAATTAGCTGGACCGACTGAAAATCTGTTTGTTTGTTTTCTTTTAGCCTTCATTACAATATCAGTCTGACAGCTGGTGCTGAGGAAGTGAAATACTAAACCGCAAAATACTAAACCGCACTGAGATTAGGGTCTCACAAGCCAAAGGTTAAAGACCAGAAAAGTAGGCAATGGCATTAACTTACTGTTATTTATTTAGTGGTGTCTCAGTTCATCTAGATTTCAACCTCATCAGCCCCAGACTCAACTATCTACTTTTATTGATCCTCGAGTTATTCTGGCTCCATCAAGGCAATTTAATGGAGGATCCGAGGCTGCCTATTTTCAGACACTTTGGGCAAAAAGCAGCCACAGGCTGAATCTTAGACTTAAAAAGGGGAACCTTTGGGTTTCCTCCCCGTACATGTTCTGTCCTCATAATTGTATAATATCCAAGTTTGTACGTAAAAATGTGTTAATGGTAAACGTATGCATTGAGACATCCTCCCAATGTGAAAGGCATTTTATAAATGTCAACTGAATTTATTGTAAACTTGCTCTTTGGAAATAATTTAGCACAAACAAAGACGTATGGCGTAGTATTGCATGCTATCTAAAATCTCCTGCACTGGTGGTTAACCATAAGGAACATAGGAAGAAGAGTAGGTCAATCAGCCCCCGGAGCCTGTTCCACCATTCTAAGATCATGGCTGACCTGTTCCTCAACTCCAATTACCCGCCTTTGCCCCGTATCCCTTGATATCCTTACCTAACAAACGGTATTGTTTGCAAATCTATGGGGAAAATATTTAGAATGGTAACTTATACAAAGCATACATAAATTAAAAACAGTCTCTTAATATTGCACTCACTGATATTTTTATATGATCAGTTTAAGTTGGATTTGCATACAGAAGACTCCTGATGTGAACGGACACTATTAATATTTACTGTATTTGTATTTCCCCTCACTTTTTAAACTCAATTTTTCATTTACAGATAGCAATAGTTTTCAATACTACTGTAGGAAATCACAAATCATTTTTGAAATTATTTTTGCATTTGGTAAAGGTTTATTTAGGAACTTGCCATGCATACTTTCTGCATGAATTTGGTGACTATAATGTTTAGAGTGAGATGATTAAGTGAAGCAAGTACTCAGCCTGAAGGTACATTGAAAAATCTGAACATGTTGTGCAATTTCAAACGCCAACCAATTTTAAGCTATACTAATGTAAAATAAGTCATCCAACGGCTGTATCCGTGCAGTATTATTCCATATAATTCAATGTAAGAGCACAGTACATTGTAAATGAAGCAGTCCATCCACAATGATAACAAGATCACAGTACCCAAACACGGAGGTTAGAGCACCAGAGTAAATTCTATGAATAATAATAATTCTTGGATTTTATATAGCACTTTATCACATCAAGGTGTGGTGAATAGTAATGTTAGCAACTTTAGTTCACGTTACTGGTACCCGGAATTTCAGAAATTTGAGTTTTGCTTACACAATACAGTGCACAACAAATTTACATTTGCAGAGCACTTTTCACATTGGTAGGATGTCCCAATGTGATTAGGTTACAAAAATATAAAACGATTGTTTAATAAAGTCAGAATCTTACAAATTTCTCATATTGAAATTTACTTGACTTTATTGCAGTTATTGAGCACAAATTAATGCAATTGATATTTGGGGATTTTTGTAACAGTTTATATACTTGTGTGGTTTAACAATGTAAAAATACATACGGATCTTCAGATTGTGCATTACACAACACAGCGCCTCCTGGCCAGTTTCAGAGCAAACCTATATAATTATTTAGAATTTTTAGAGCCAGATGAAAGATTTATTAGCCAGCCCAGTCCGAAAAGTGCAATATAATTAGACTGAATATGATTTAATTTTTAAGATGAGTTGTACAAAACACTCTCATACAACATCTGCTTCATTATGGTGATGACACAGACCATATGAATCTTCTAAATGTGATCAGTCCAATGGGATACATTTTGGCCTATAGAGTCTCCAACTTCAAGTGAAAGTGATACAGGAATTCAAAAAGGAGCCTTGTAAATGGGATTTTTCATTGAAAATGTTTGGCACACTTTACAATAAAGGTCCACTATGATTTAGTCAGGGTGGTGGTGGTGGTGAGGGGGATGGAGAGGGGGGTAAGAGAGAGGAAGTAGGGATGGCTGCATGTCATTTTAAAAGAAAAAAATCAGTATTTCTGATCATTTTATTTGCCCCTGTGCTAAAAGTTCACATTCTTAAGCAGTTATCCTCTAACCTTTTGACAGCTAGCCAAAAAACACTATTAATTTAAACAAACTCAATCGATAGCTTTCAGAAGAATAACACTGCACAATATTGTGAAAAGCAACTGAGTAATGGAGGCAATTCATCATTCATAATGAATTCAACTGTACCAGAAATAAAGCAATTAGTTGTCAACAAAATCTGTTTTCAAGAGCGTTACACTGGGTGCACCTTGTTAATCATACTTTGACAGGAAAATACAACACAAGTTAAACAAAGAGCAAATCAATGCAACTTCAGTGGAGCTTCAAGCCAATATATTTTTTTAAAAAATATAGATTATCTCACCTGAAGGCAAATTTAAAAAAATCTTCTGGGTTCAATCTCAGAACCCTTTTATTAATAATAAACCTTGCATTATATCAAATGCAAGGATTATTATTAGTAAGAGGGTTCTGGAATTGACCCCAGTAGATTTTTTTTTAAAAATTTAGTCGTCGCGTCTTCGAGACGGCTCAAAACGCTTCCCAGAATATACGGTAAAGTGAATTGACTGTATATTTTGAGGACGAAATGCGGTAGCCAATTGCGCAAACAGTAAAATTATTATTTCTATTTAATTATATATTTTTTGTTTAGAAAGATTGAAGTTGGACCACAATCTGACACACTCAGAGGTGTGGTGAACTGTGAAGAACAGTGCAGATGTGTGCAAGTACATATATTGACATATTAGGTGAGTGGGCTGATTTATGGCGAATGGAGTTTGATGTAGCCAACTGCGAAGTAATGTATTTGGACAACAAAAACAGTTATTGGAAATAGAAGTTAAATGGGGAACCTCTGGAGGAAACAACTGAATAAAGGGAATTGGATGCACTAGTAAACAAATCACTAATAGCTCGTACACAGGTATAGAATGTGGTTTGCAAGACAAAAGGAATAGCCAGTGCTTCATAAGAGCATTTCAGATGAAAAAGTCCCTTTGGGCCCATTTGATGACCCTATCCTTCTGGAACACCCACCTACCATCTGTCCATCATAACATTATAAATGATATCAGTGTCCTGGCTTCAATCACCTTTCGCAACAACTTGTTCCAATTACCTCAGAGTAAAAAAAAACTTCCTGGCGTCTGCAATGAAATTGCCCTTTGCAACTCTGAGACGATGTCCTGTTATTCTATTGTCTTGGGGCATCCAAAATGATTACTTTTTCCATCCCCTTTAAAATGTTACAAATTCTACCAGATTCCTTCTGAGACATCCGATTTCAAGACTGAAGAGCCCTATGTTGCCTAATGGATGTTCATAGTTAATTCCTCCATCACTGAATCATCCAGGTCGCTCCACTTTCCACCGCTTCCACATGCCTTTCAGCCCCCTCTCCCTGCTTCACAGCACCTGGGAACTGAATGCAGTACTCTGGATCAGCCTAATAAGAGAGCTCTATATAACTTGAGTACAACATCTGAGCAACTGAATACAACTTGACTTGAAATCAAGGAAATGCTGTTGAGGCTGTACAGAGCACTGGCAAGACCGCAAATACTAAAGTTGCCTGAAACAAATCTACAAAAACTTGAAAGTGAATTCCAAATCTACCAAGAAATGACGACACTGTGTGTGATGCACACAGTATATTAGGATTACTCATTTCGCTCACAAAATATACAGTCAATTCACTTTACTGTATATTCTGTGAAGCGCTTTGAGAAGCCCCACCAAACTGTGATAAGGCGCTATATCAAATGCAAGGATTATTATTATGAAGGCAGCTTGCCAGAATGCATACTGAATTTTCAGGAGGCTAGTAACTGAAGATGGGTTGTACTATTTCTGACTAACAGAATAGAGAACCAAACCAGTTTAAAGTTTGTCTCCAAAATATCAAATGACCAGGGGAATTGCTTGATTTGAAAACCCACTAGATCTAAGTTATATGTAGCACATGTTCTGTTGTAGGTTACGGTAACATGCATCAAATTTCCAAATTAAATTTTCCCAGTAGGAGACACTGGTGAATATAGAGCACGCGTTGTGGGTATTATCAGACATTCACAACCAGAATTGTGATTTTATAATACTCCCAATGTACAAGGCAGGAAATCTGAACTCCTCTGAATTAGGATCTGAACTTGCAGTGCATATGCTCGTTTTAAATGAATCGCTGACAAAGCAGAAAGAAGAAATATTTTTATACAAAAGGGTTATCAGGATGTGGAATGCATTACTTCAAGTGGCTATTAAACCGAGTCAACTACAACGTAAGAGGTAATTAACTAAACGCTTGAAAACTGAAGTTGCAGAGAAAAAGAATTAGCATGGCACGAGAATGGTGGGTCAAAAGGCCTCCTCCTAGGCTGAAATTTCTATAAAAGGAACCCGATTTGCTGTATTCAGGAGGCTGTTGATATAGGAATTAGGAGCTGATTTATTTTCTACGTGTCTGAGCTGAGCTCACACTTGAGATCTAGCCCTTTGATCCAAAATAGTTCTTGCCAACATTGTCTTTTTCATATATTGCCTCGTCGGTGGAAGTCACAGAATAGGCACAACAAGCTGAATAGCCTGCTCCTACGATCCTAACGTTTTTTCAGCTGCTCAGCTCAGCCTACTAAATTGTTCAGATTACTCAGAGGGAAGTATTACGGCTATGATTAGATCAACATGAAAAAGAGGAATCAGAAAGTTAGGTACAAGAATTACATGTTGAAGCGACAGAATATATGGAAGATTAGAAAACAACTTAGGTATTCTGAGCAAAATGAATCTGAAAAAATTGACAACTATTTTACAAGAGCATACTATTTGTAACACTTCTCTGCATGAATTACTTCACAGAAAATAAAGTTATATGCCAAATTGCATGCTGTGCACTATTTTAACCACAAGACCACTCTATTGGGCTAAAAGTAGGTCTTTCCTTCCCCCCTAAAAGCAGAGCTGTAAATGCTCCGTTTTAACCAGGCAATAGGCCCAACTTTACACAAATGGATAACCAGCAACCACAAAACCTTACCCAGTAAGGAAAAAGGATCCAAAACGCCTTCATAACAACAGCTTGCATTTATATAGTGCCCGTCATGTAGGATAGCAGTTCGGAGTGCTTCACAGTGGTAGCATTTGATGCTGAGCTCGGAGGAAGAGGGGTGGAGGTGGCCAGAGGTGCGATCAAAGAGTAGGATTTAAGGTGGGATTTGAAGATAGATACAGAGAGGGTATCCTTTAGGAAAGGATAGGGAGAAAATTGCTAAATGGGATACTTGGCTGAGGTACAAAGGGTAGTCAGTGCCATGGAACTGCACACCATTAAGACCTTTATTCTTCAGGACTGCTGTCTTCTGCACAATAGCACCAGTTTTCCAAACACTCCGGGTTTTGAAAATTATCAGTGTTGCACTTTAAGCAAAAAAAAATGAGACCCCAAAAAAGAAGAAAATTCTAGTGTCAGATCTAAAAGAGGGTTTCATATAAGCGTGCATCACCAGCAATTTTTCTGACTACCAATATGATAGTCCCAAACTGTCCTAAACTGTTAAGTGTTCATGTCCTGAAGAAATACAAGTTCCAAGTTACAGCCCAGCACTTGGAGACACCTCCTCTATTTTAAGGTAGAATCCTGATTGCACAAACTACAGATAAAAATCACATCAATCTAGCCCAGATACATTCCTGTCAGAGAAACACTGCAGTTTCTTTTCTTGGTAAGCTTCAACATCTGTATCTGATTCTCAGTCTTAACATTCCGATCATTCCTAGTGTGGTACACCATTATACAATCGGTCGAAAGGTTCAAGTTTCAAGCACTGAATTTAATGCATTAGGAAGTACATTTCCGATTAGTAAAATGAGGGAATGAGGGAATAACGCAAATTCTAGTTATTGTCTCATTCTATTTAGCAAGTCAGTAACTGTAGGATGTCGATTTATGATCTTTACCAAAATGGGGAGCAGTTAAGAATTGTTTTAATGTAGATGGATTATATGGGCATTGCATAATAATACTTGCGTTTGATGCATTGCCTTATGTCTTTGAGACGTCACAGAATATATTGTACATATGCATGAAATAGAATTCGAATAAGGAATTAAAGTAAAATATTTGAAAATAAATTTAAATGGAATTGGGAAAAGGGCAAGGGAGTGGGATTACACAACTAGCTCTTTCAATGAGCTGGTACAGCACCATGGCCTCCTGTGCTTACTCTTCAGAATTAGGCAGGGTACCATTAGGGACATGCAGCAAGCAAGCAGATGAAATAAACCTTATGATATTTCGAGTAGCGTATAATCCAAGTGGCAATATTTCAAGTAGAGTTCAGATCCAGGGCACAGTTGCTGAGTAGAAATGACAGAAACATTTTATACAGTAACTGCTTTTATTCCCTAGGTCACAGTCCTTAAATCCAAGGCTGGATCCACTGCCTGTTGTGGCAAAGAAGACTCAAATCTTTTGGATTTGTTGATATAGCTGAAGAGGCAGTGAAAGTCCTTATTCCCAGACGAGGTTAGAGAGAAAAACAATGTTGGCCCGGATTGCCACACATAATCACAATGCAGTGATTCCTGCTGTAAAGTCCATATGCATGGACAGAATTCGGCTTAGCTTGATACCCTTCCCCAGCTGAGCCTGCCAGCCCTCATTGCTCAATCACTTGAACAAGGTTACAGCCAGTACCCATAGACACAGCACAGAAACTGGCAGGAAGCAAAAGCTGGAGGCACCTGAAATCTGACCATAAAACATACTCTACTTTCAACGGTAGCAAATGTTGACTTGTTTGCAAGAAAGATAATTACTCCTCCAATTTTCATAGATTTGCTCATAATATCATCTTAATCTGCAGTCATAAAAAGCAAAATCCATCAATAGCATGTTTAATTAAGAAAATCAACCTTCCTTACTCTGACCTTGCGGTTAAGGTAAAACAAGTCTAAGCCTTAGATTTTGAATTTTCACTTACAATTATAAAGGTGTAGTTTTATAATATTTGGTTAAATTACTCCGAAATACCTGGTTTAGCAAAAAACCTCAGGTTGTAAATATCTTTGAGGGCATAAAACAAGAGAACGTCAATCGCTGGGACAGGGAAGGGAATTGTGTGCTATTTGTGCTTCAGTAACTGTATGCAATGAGAACTGTTGATAATGCAATACAGGTTTACACTTACCGTGATTGTGGGAGCCCCTTTTTATGAAGATCTGTTCGGACTCGTTCTCCTACATGTCTGTATATTTCTACTAAGCTATTTATTGCTGCATCTCGGACCTGAAGATTTAAAGAAATCACAGCAATTACTAAGTATTATTAGACAATTAGTAAAACTAGGTCTTTGCTATGCTTAGGTTTGATAAATTACTTTGCTACGCTATAAAACTACTTAACTTATCTGAATGAAACCTCTTGCTTACGGTGGCACAAAATAAGGAAAATCCCATTAAAAAGTTAGACATCATCAAATCAGCTGCGCCCAGTGAGTAGAAAAAAATAAATCCTTCACCCTTTGTTTCCTTGCAAATCAGAATTATAAATAATTTACCACCACGAGGGGGCAGCATTCATCGGCTAAACTCCGCACTCAAGTTTGAAAGGGGTTCAGTTATTTCCAGCGATTTCCAGCCAGCTCCGTTACAATGCACTTCAGCAAGGCGCAAATTCATTTCTAACATGGCTGCACTATACACGCACATCCACAACAACCTAACGAGCCCGGACGTCGGCCATTTGAACTTCCCGCCATCAAAAAAAAAAATCGCCCAACGTCTTGTTTGTCAGGTTTCCACCGACGTCACTTCCCGCCCTGCGGATCAAATCAAGCCGTGAATTTGGTGGTGACCCGTTGACCCAGAAATGAGCCCTTTTTCTTTTAGCGTGGGGACCATTTGTTGCGCAGCGATGGGAGTCGGCTGGCTCAATTTAGGATTTCAGATGCATGTAGTGTGAAACCCACTTTCGCACTCCGTTTCAGAGTGGGCTGGGACTTTATAGATCCCAAATACACGTAATAATGAGGGCTTTCTTCTAAATTTTCATCGGATAAGCGAGCACAATTTGGTATTTTTTTTGGCAGCTCAGTTTTTTTTGGCAGCAATTTTCAGGCACAAAATAGAGATTAATCAACAATTGTAATCATTCATTCGCATTTATTGCCTGAATAAGCGGATGTTTTCTCGATACCAAGGGGTGAGTCATTCTGTCTACAGTGAGCATGTTTAGGTTCCTCCTTGCTAACCGTTGACCACCCAACACCCCCCACACACAATTTCTACGACTCCAGCTATATCTTAATTCACATTCAATTTTGTGCTTTACATATATTTTATATATAAAAACATATTTTTATTGCGGAACAATAAAATAAAACTGATGCACATCACGCTTTGCTGAATCTTAATCTAATCCAGCCAATCCTATGTGGGAGGAAATTCTGCTTTGAGGGACTATCATTGAAGGGTTTTCTGTGAGATTTACGAAAAATAAAAGTAAATCTAGATTCAGGTGGAAATTCTCCCCCAAATGCACTTAGCAAGGTAATAAGTTTGAGACCTTGCAGCTTTAAATCTGCTGTGCCTGCTGCATTTCAGGGTCAAAGGAAAAACAAGTTTAAAAAGTTAAAACTAGAGAAATGGATTTAAACTAGACTTTAGACACTAAATTATACCAAATGATATTGTTAGAATGCAAGACTAGTGCGCATTACAAACCTTAACCCTGCCACAATAAGACACAATAAATTCAATTCACTTCAGAAATTATTTTAAAGCTGAAACCCCTTCACAAGTCTTATTCAAAACAAAACAATAGTAAATGGGTCATTTTCAATCCACGACTGTTCGTGGGACACTGCTGTGCGCAATTGGTTGCTGGGCTCCGTCCACAAATATACAGTCAATTCACTTTACAGTCTATTCTGTTAAGCGCTTTGAGATGGCAAGAAGACGTAAAAAGCGCTATGTCAAAATTCAAGGATTATTATTATTATTCACTGAAACCGGTTCCAAACTGGGAAGTGAGATTAATGTAATGAACAATTCCATCCTACAGGCGGTGTTGCGAGAGGTTTGCATTATTTCAACAAACCAACAGATGGCTCTACCATTACCAAACAGGCATTTGAACAAATCCAATGCTGAACTGGAGCAGAAATGACTCAGCATACGCAGCTTACATCAAGAATCTCAACGCCTCATGAGGGAGGGGTAGCTGACTGGGCTCAGTGGAACAGCAAGAATGCTACAATGGGTCTCGGGACTCCTTTTTTTAAAAAAATCAAAATCTCAGCAAAACAGTCCTATTCTGTGTTCAAGTCTCCGATCCATACTTTACAAAACTCCACTTCACGATTGATAGTTGTTTCTCCTTAACAATAATTCAAAGACATTGTAAAGACTTCACAGTAAAATTCAGGAAGACCTTTTACCTGACTGTTTGGATCTCCTAATAAGTTACAGATGTGGGGTACAATTTTGCTTAGGGTTAAACTGTGGGCTCCATGACTGAAAGAAGAAAAATAAAAACAATCATCATTAAGCAATGGCCCACCTGAACAACTACCACATATTTATAAAAATCTTGTTGGGTAGATTATTAAACTTACCTATTTAACGTTGCAATAAGGCAAAGACAAACCCCTTCTCTGGATCGAAAATTCTTGTGTTTGAATCCTCCCAATATTCGCTCCCAAACATACTGTACAAAAAAACACAAAAGTTTACAGTCAGAATTTTTAAAGCTGTTCTCTTGCAGCTCACCCTGTGCATATTTTGAAATAATCCATATTTTGCCAAAGAAAACAAAATATATCTACATTTTAAATGGTATCAAAATGCTTTTTTTTTAATTCAAACTAAGGTAAAGTAACAGCTCCTTTTCATTTCTCTTTCAGTTTTGAAAGTTGCTTTGAAGAACATAAGAACATAGTAATAAATAATCATTGCATTTGATATGGAGCCTTATCACCACTGAAGAAACATCTCAAAGCATTTCACAGAATATACTATAAAGTGCTTGTATATTTTGTGGACGACATGCAGCAGTCAATTGCACACAGCAGTGTCCCACAAACAGTCACTGATTGAGTGACCAAATTATTATTAATTTCATTTTTTTGCTTGGAAGAATAAGAATTTGCTATGTGGAAGAAGTTCACCTTCCATCATCCTGATTTTTTTTCATCTAAATTGTAACATAGCTTTAACATGCAACATCCGGCTATGTGGTTCTCAACAGAGCACCTGTCATTGGGCCACAGATGTGGTGCGTCATATTGTAACATTAGAATGGATTTTTGACCCATTTTCCCCAGGAGAAGACGATATTATATCAATTACAACCATATTGATTTCACCCAACTTCCAATGGAATCACTCTTGGAGCTGGTCTGACAAAGAACGTCTGGCAATGGAAAATATAGAGATGCTGGAGGTCATGGGAGGAGGTGGTTGTGGAGAATAAGGTTATTGCAATTGTTCTGTGTACCTGTGGAGTGGCTGCCTGTTCCATGATCTTTAGCAGCAGACTTTGATCCTGTTCTCGTACTTGATCCTTTGCATCTCCTAGTCGGTCTATCAAGCTGGGTAGGGCTACAGAAAATTGTAAAGAAAAACTAAACACGGTTACCCTTGGACATTTAAACAGCTCGATTAAGTAAAATGAAATTGAAACACTTAAAACACGGCCTCGGCCTCAGCAATGATGCTTCCATTGTCAAATAGTTTGCTGACACTAATAGCCCAGGGTTAATATTGCACAGGAATACAGGAACAGAAGGCACTTTCATTCCCTTCAAGCATCTTCGACCAATTTATTGGACCTTGGCAGCACTTTTAATTCAATGTCGCCCGTTTTGCCATACCCCTTAATACCGACCTCGTGATCACTGGGCAACATACTGGAGACCTTCCAGTGCACGTGAACCAAATCATATTCCCAACTAAACTCAGATTCCATTAAAGGATGAGTGAACTTTTATTCTGGAGGTTTTCTTAAAAAAAATCTTAGATGATCAGAGAAACTGCAGCTTGAATTGGGTTTGAAAAAGCTAACAGAGCCAGGAGGAGAAAATAAAAATCAGTGCACGGTGAGCACCATGCACTCTTTTGAACAAACGCGGTTAGTAAGAATTGAATGAAACGTCTTTCAAATAAATTACCTGTGCCAATCTGCGATTTAAAACGATCCTGAAGACGCGAGACCAGGGCAGAGAAAATCTCAATGCCAAACAAGGCAACCTGAAAAATATTAGGAGTGGATTTATGATTTTTATTTCATAAACACAGAACAAAGCAATTTAACAATCCTGATTCATTGATTTGATTATTTGCATTTGATACAGCGCCTCATCAGGTCGTTGAAGCGCCTCAAAGTCGATCGACTGTACATTTTGTGGGCAAAAAACGCGGCGGGCAATCGCGGCACGGGAACGTGGTCGCGCGCGCGGACGCGCCGAGTGCAACGCTATTGATCCCGTTCCCGAGGCCGGTTTTCGTTGCGCTGATTAATTCGGGAACCTCGGGGCTGCGATTCCTTTTCAGAGCTGCAGCTAGGTGGCCAGGCAAAGCACTGTGGGTAACGGGCTCTCTTTTCATATGTACAGAAAGACCCGAAGCGCAGTTTCACTTTCACCGCCGCAGAAACGACGACGACCGCCTCGCGTCGAACAGACATTTACCCCCCCACCCCCCGAAAATAAATAAAACTGCGGGCACCCCCCAAAAAAAAAAAAAATATGCACTGCGACCTACAAGTGTGACAGTTTCAGCTATTGCTCGACGTGCGGGAGCTCGAGGCCCCAACCGTCCTTATCTTGGGGTTGTGCTGCTGTTCGATGAACGTGTAGTGAGAGCAGCACTGCTAACGCCATCACAACACTGCGCATCACCTGGACCCTGAGTCCAGTTACTGGTGCAATTTTTGGAACCTCTCCTTTAAAACGAATGGCTCTTGAGACGGAACCGGTGGTCCGGACCTCCTCGGCGGTGGTGGGGGGCGGTCGCTGCCGCCTCCCGCGCCACATGTACGCAGATGATGCCTTTCCTCCTCTACCCTCAACTCCACGACCCCCGATGTCCTGACAGCTGTCTGTCCGACATCGAGTCCTGGACGAGAGACAACTTTCTTCAGCTCAACGTGTGCAAAACCGAGGCCCTCCTGATTGGCTCACGTCAGCGCCTCCGCACCTCAGGCGCTGACACCATCAGCATCCAAGGCCGCACTCTCCACCTCTCAAAGCCATCAGGAACCTCGGGGTTCTGTTCGACCCTGAGCTGTCCTTTCTCCCTCATATCCGCCCCACAACTGGCACCGCCTTCCATCACCTCCAGAACATCGCCAGACTACGCCATTACCTCACCCCTCACGCTGCTGAAACCCTGGTTCACGCCTTTATCCCCTCAAGGCTGGACTACGGGAACTCTCTCCTCGCCGGCCTTCCCGGCCCTCCCTCCACACTGCAGGTCATTCAGAACTCTGCAGCTCGTGTACTGTCCCGCACCAGACACCGCGACCACATCACTCCCACCCTCGCTCGCCTCCACTGGCTCCCCATCCCCCAGAGGATCGATTTCAAGATCCTCATCCTCACCTACAAGGCCATTCACGGCCTCGCTCCCTCCTACCTCTCCAACCTACTATCCCCCTACCTACCTGCCCGTACCCTCCGTTCCTCTGGCTCCGGTCTGCTCCACATCCCCCGCCCCAACCGCCCTACCATCGGTGGCCGGGCCTTCAGCCTCTCAGCCCCGAGGCTCTGGAACTCCATCCCCCAGTGCCTTCGCCGCCTCCTCCCTTTCCTCCTTCAAGGCCGGTCTCAAGAGCTTTCTCTTTGACCGAGCCTTCAGCTCCACTCTCGACTCTCTATCCCCTCCTCGCTCCCTCCCTTCCCTCCCCTCACCCTGACCATTTCCCCCCTGCTCGGGTCCCGGCCCAACTGTCCAGCGCCTTGGGATGTCCTCCCGACGTGAAAGGCGCTCTATAAATGGAATCTTGTTGTTGTTGTTGACCCACAAACAGTCGTGGGACTCCCAATTTTGCAGAGCAAATGCATTTTTAAATCCCCATAGCCTCACCTCGGTGACTTCCAGCAACCCTCGTGCCCAGGCTGCAGTTACTTCTCATGGTAAACACCAGCCACGTTCATCAGTTGGTTAGCTTTCAGTCTGGACCATGCCACTCTCACCCTGCCTTCAAACCCGTCATTAAGACCTTCTCAACCATGTTTTCTGCCACTTCCCCCCTACTATCTATATAGTGAGGGCTTAAACCAATACTTATTGATTTCAAATGACCAACTAGTGATTCTCCCCCGAGAGGGGGTAAAGAAGAGTTGTATCTCTCATTGGAGCTGAACTGGCTCCAAGGTGACATGTTGGGCAACGGAATGTAGGAACCGATCCAACCCACAGCAGCAGTCTTGATGATCGAATTCCTGAGCCAGGCAGGTCCCCTGATGACAGCGTTTCCAGGCTGGCTTATCCGTAGGACTCTGAAGGACAGACTAGTCACTGGGAGCATGGACTCTTTCTACTCAGCTCCCGTTAAGCCTGCAAGCCAAAGCCCTAACGGTTAGCGTTGTCCTATCAGGAAAAACAGAAGGAAAACTTGCCTGGCAGTCCCCTCAATGGTAAGCTATGCAGTTTTAGCTAGTTAAGACTCCACAGGACCACAACACACTCTGGGGTCCCGAAGCCTTGGCTCTTGCCAACCTGGGCTTAGTACTTTCCGGAATTAGGTAAAGCAGGATATGTCCCTCCAGGGAGAGAGTGCGCATTCCATTCCATCAAACATCCCTGGAATTTCCATTTAAAGGTGGGTTACAAGGAAACACTTTCGGTTTTAGTTGATAGACTGACTGAAAGCACAGAATACTAGAATAATAATCCTTGCATTTGATAGTGCCTTGACACATTGTTGAGATTTCTCAAAGCACTTCACAGGATATACTGTAAAGTGGATTGACTGGATTCTGTGGCAAATGCGGCAGCACACAGCAATGTCCCACAAATAGCCAAGGAATGAGTGATCAGTCTTATTTGGGGATTTATTGGACCAGCCACAGGGAGAACGCCCACCTGAACAGGCAGACTGGACATCGGTTTAACATCTTATTCGAAGGATGGCACCTCCGACAATGCAGCAACTTCCCAACACTTAATTGTTGTATAAAAATTGCACAAGCAATGGCACTCACGTTACGAAGTTTTGAACTGCAGTCCTATACAAAATTATATGGAGTTGGTTTGAGGAGAATCTTCAGCCAATTGATAAGAAACAGATTTGCAATGCAATTATCATTGCTTCAGCGGAAAACAACAGCTTCAGAGAAAATCACCATGTTCAAAAAACATTTCATTTAGTATTCTGCATTAATTTACTGACAACACAGACACCTTCTGAAATGATAGTTGGTTTAAATATCTTTTTGTACATTTTAAGTTATTAACTTATTTACTGGACCACTGCTTCTGCATCATTTGTATTGATGCAAGTTCTCATAAAACAATAAATTAGCAATCCTTCCAAGGATATAATTAAAGCAAAGGTGGTTTTCTACCCAAAGAATTATCCTCAGTTGAACCTCATCAAAGCACCAGAGACTAGGGTACAAATAAAAATACATTTCACTTAAGAACCGTCAGAAAGTAGGCACTCGTCCTGACAGTCACAAAAGAAGGCCATTTGACCCACTGTGTCACGATGAAAGACTTCACATGTTAAATAATCACTTTAATCTTCAGGTTTTGCACCAATATCGTCAGAGGCAAACCAGCCTGTTAACATGACCAGCTACAAAGCTATAAGGGTGTAATTACTAAGTAACCATTCCCAAGACAGTTTTATCTTCCCTCACTAATAATGTCTTACAAGTGTTGTATCTGCTTGAAACATACATGCAACAATCGGATAATTCAATAACTGGCATATTGTCATTGTGCCAACATATTCCTTTCATTAACTACAACGTCTCTGTTCTTCGCACCACATTATCTTACTTGATTACATGTCAAGATTGTTTTGGAATAGGAAACTACTATTGTCGGTCATTTTCATTGTGTCCAGTGATAAAAACAATCCAGACTGTTGAGGAAACACGATAACAAAGAAAATAAAAGCAAACAAGGATGTCTGGTACTGTGCACAACAAAACAGTCCACTCCTTGCTGGGCTGCAACACTAAAACTGTAAGATTAAAGTATAAATCTTTCAATAATAAATGAATGCCATGCATCATTGATTGCATCAGTACATAATAATTGAGTCTACAGAAGGCTAGTTTCATTGCACCAGCAAAATAAATGTTGACATACAATTTCATACTATCAGTTAACTCATGTTTTGGGCTCAGTAAATGGTTCAATAAATAAATGCATCATCCGGTATGGTATCAAGACACAAGAATCAGGGAGATCCAAGGTTCAATCCCTGGCCTAGGCTACACTAGTTGATCGCAACCAGAGTGGTGCTGAGGACACAATTACTTTCGTTGAGTTAGGAACCAAGTTGTTGGGCAGGATTCCCATTCTAGATTACTATCCAATCATCCCTCCTGGATCAAACAGTCACAGGAGGTAGTTTCATGCCATTATGATCCATGAAATAATTTCCCGAGGTCTTGCTGAAAAGACCTAAGCAACTGCCAGGTGTTTTCTCAAACGGAAGAACAAAAAGGGATATAGGAGAGCAATTAAACTCAAGTTAACAAATTAAACTCAGTTATCCTGATCTAACCTGTGCACTAAGTACAGCCCTGGCAGAGTGACAGGATCATGTGCATCTGTGCCTCAGGAAAGGAATGGTGAACATGCTAATGTGAGGGAAACAAATTTAATGTGAGGCTACAGAGTCAGAGAGAGAGAGAGAGAGAGAGAGAGAGTGTGTAGAGATAGGGAAAAAATATAAAAAGCTCACCAAAACTTTGAGTACATTTATTTCAAAATATTTTCCAACCACCTTCGTACTCTGTCAATTATGTACGATATTGTTATTGTTTTAAAATATAACAGGATGGGAGACAGATATTCTTATTGGATCCAATTCAGTAATGTCAAATGAAATGCTCTGACGAAACTGTGCTAATTACTTCCAATAGTATAGCCGTTTACAGCATGGAACAGCATGGGATTGCTTAAGGAGATTGAGAATAACCACATTTCTATTTAAAACACAAGTGCTGTACTGTATGTGAGTTAGCTTTAGTACACGGTCATTCTTTTTGGGTGTTTTTGTAAATTTTGCCTTTAAGTTTACTACGACAATTTATATTCCATTTATTTCTATGAAAATCTACTTCCATTAAGTGTACAGGATGAAAAATATTTTGTTACATGTGTAGTTCTAGCCTTGAAACTCCATTCTAGTATTGTACTTGTGCAGTATTGTACATCTTCCAAGGTCGCAAATCATGCAAGTATATTCAAAGCTATTTAAAAAGGTCAACTGTATTAATGTAAACAGAAATATCTTTATTCTTTCCACATCCCAATAATGTGGTGGTCAGCAATCTGTATTTTCTACTGGGAATAAACGTTCTTCTTAAAATAAACCTTACTTTCAATATAAATCCTTCTACAAACGGTCCTGAAGTTGTGATCTGACAACATTAATCACAATCTGAAAATTATGTAAGCACCACCTGTTGTGGATACTCAGCTCTACGTTGTTCTATGCAATTTGTTTTCCAATTACGATGAAAATACTATTCATGCTTCATAGTGAACTGTTTTCTTGCAGACCACTGTTGGTAGATTGTTATCAAGAGTGCAGAAAAAACAATCTCAGTGATACTGCTGGCATTTTTCTGTAAACTAGATGTGCTAGCGAAAACCACCAAAATCAGAATAAGAAAATACAGTACATGCGAGATTATTGAAACAAAGAACTATTCTACAAATGCAATTCTTCCAATTAGAGTTTTTCTTTCAAT